CAGCCCCCTAAACCAGATAAATATTCATTGTGCCCAGCCACAGATGCTACACATGTGAAAACAAACATTCCAAAACTCTGACAGAGTAAATGGATCATCTCCCTTCGGCTGTTGATGTGCAGCATGGATGGACCAGCAATGAACGTTTGCTTTCTAAACCACATGGAACAGACCCTGTACTTTTCAACATGAATTAGGCTGATCATGTTGTGTAGCACTCTTGTGTCATCATGTGCCTGAAGTTATTGAAACCCAAGAATGTGTAATAATGTTAACTGTGCCTATTACACACCTCAGACTGCCCAGATCCATAAGGGATATAACTGGATAATGGTTAGAGTTGGAAAAAGAAGAGCAGTTTACACAAACAGGACTCCTCTGTCCACCATTTCAGCCTCATGATCTGTTTTGCCCTAACATAAACTATGCCCTATACCAAAGTCAGGGAAAACACTACTTGCATAAAACACAGTTAACTTCCAGCCTAGAAGTTGGTGGCTTGCTATTGATTAGTGCATTTTTTTACATCACTAGGCCTGAAGCAATGCATTGACCTCAAAGTGCTCTGCCATGCTAACAAAACAAAGGAACAGCATAATTGTGAGACAAAAGTTTTTATCAGTTAGTATATGCGGCGTGCTCCAAAAGACAGAAAATTTGAATTCTAGAAGGCTTCAGCTCACAGAGAATTGTTTAACCATCAATTTGAATTCCATCCTTACAGACCTGTCTTCCAAAATCTCCAAAACCCTGAATGCAACAATGCCCAAAAACCACAAGAGAGGCAGTAGAATCAGGAAAAGGAAAATCATGGCCACTATTCCCTGTCATTGCACACAAAACAGCTCTGGTATAAATGAAACAGGGAGGTACAAGTGGTACAGTTAGTTCACTAGCAGTCCAAGGGCTGTACTGCCAGTCCAAGAAATCATTCTTCCTCCCACTGACAAATACTTAATATTAAATGCATGTATGGAGCAGAAATAGGCCCAAAATGTATAAAGAGCAAACACCCAGAGTCCAAGGCATACTCCAGCCTTTGGGCATGCCGATGGCATTCATTCCCCACGTGACATACAGATCAGGCCTTTTGGCAGGACTGTGAAGAGGATGTTAAAGGCTTCAGTACTAAAACTCTGCCAGAGCCCCCCAAAAGAAAATACATATGCACCTTGCACGGTATAATTAACACCACTACGCTTCTGAGAGCACGTGCACATACTGAAAACAAAGTCAAGACAGCCACTTCTCTGGTGTAAGCACATGTGACACTTGTCTCGTCTAGCATTAGTGTCATCAGCTCAGAGAGCTGGAAAGTCATCAGGAACATAACAGACTCAAGGGTGCTCCAAAACGCCTTTACAGAAGCCACCAACTTCCAGCTAAACAGCACAGGTCTATAAACTTTCAGTAAAAAACTTACTCATATGTGATTTTGACAAGGCAGCCTTCAGAAGTAGATCCTGTACTAAAGGAGCAACTGGCAACAGACACACTCACTTTTCGGATACATCCTTCTTACACTCGTGAGGTAACGCAATGCTTCAAAGTTTCAAACACACGAGGGGTGATGTTTCTTCCCTCCCCACCATCCAGGAGGCTGGTTACATTTCCCGAGTCCAACTCTCAGATGTCTATTTCTATTTCCTTGGTGCCACCACGTGGCAAAAGTCTGTATTACCGTTTTCCATGCAAAAGCCACCTGCAGTCCATTCCAGAGGGGCCACACATCCTACAAAGCTGTACACCGAAAGGCAGTGGCACTTTACATGTGTGTGTATGAACACCATGTTTCACTTCACTGTAACAAAGACTTATTCAAACAAAATAATCAATGGCAGAAGATCAGGCACATTTTGTAGCAATTACACCATCCTTATCTCCAAAAGGAGCATGTTATCATTCATATCCAGGAGTGCTTAAATAACTGAAGTGATTAGGTTAAGATTTTGGGGTTTTTCTGTTGTAACATCCAGTGAATATTCACATATCCATGTTAAACATACCACCTTCGCAAATTAGCTACATCTAAAAAGTTCTGTTGGCTTTTTGGGGCTTTTTTTACTGCCCTCATAGACCCTGAGAAGGTATATATTTTTAGGAAGGCGTTTGAATTAGCCCTGTCATCATAAAGAGGGCATCAGGGTCTATCTGCCAGCTTGCAGAAGCTCCAAGGAGAATGGGACACAAAATGAGCTGGATCTACCCAAATCTAGTGTAAGTGCCCAGCAGAGGATGTTTATTTGCTTTCCACCTTCGCAGCCATGAAGGGTAACATAGGGACATGAAAAAGAAGCGTTGACTGCTAGGAACTAGCTTGTGTACAATGATGTTCCCAAGGGATAAAGATGCCAGTTAAAAAGCAACTCATTCTCATTATTCCCTCTCACATGCTGTACAGATGCAATGTCAGGCACTGCAAAGAAAAAGTTGCGGGTGCTGGCTACATGTCTCTTCATCCATCAGGAACACCTACACACACAGGTACCACCACTTTAAATTTATTAATAACCCCCACTGTGTAGTATCTGAGTGTCATCAGAAAACCAGGGCAGAATACCACATTTTTCTAAGACTCCTTCAATTTTTTTCTAGCCTGAAAAGCATAAATACCAGTGGCTGAGAGGAAAGGATTAACAGCCATCTGAGGTTAGTCAACGCCAAAGAAGGAAAAGTCGTTGGAGGAAATGCTGGCTAATGTAAGCAAGAAACTCAACCCACTCTGGTTTAACAAGTCAGTATGCATCAGTTGAGCAAGTCATCTACAACACATGCAAGAAAAGTTTTTCACAACTTCGACACAATACCATAAGGATTACCATGGATTCAAAGCCAATGTGTTTAACCAGTGTCACAACTTAAGTATACACAATAGTTAACACAGAAAAACTCATTTAGGATAGCCTGACTAGTGTTCATGCCCTAACAGTTTGAAACTGTTTAATAAAGAAAGCTTTTGAAGCTGGAATTTGAACTGTCAGTTCACGGCAGCCTTGCAAAGACAGAAGTGGTTACGACAAAACAGGATATCATTCAGAAGACCAAAACTGAATGGCACACAGGCCTATGAAAAAGTGCATTAGCAAAGAAAGAACAGCTGGGCTCTCCAACAGAAGGACTGACAGCACATTCAACATCAAGAATGAAAAGCATTTTGACAACACGAGCAAGGAAAGATAGGATGCTATTGAAAAGCCACAACAAGCAGCAAAAGCAGCAACCCTACTGACATCACTCAGACCTGAAAAGAAAGAGGTGGATTTATTTTTGCCAAAAAGTGTAAGACACTTTAAGCAAAGGCTGTGCACATATCTTGGCCCACACCTCTAGTTCTCATCAGTAACCTAACCATTATTTTTTTGCCAGGCCTCATTACATCAGCTCAGCAGGTGATGTCCATTCCTAAAACTGTTCAGC